AGTTTTCTACCATTTGTATATGATCAACTAAGAAAATTGATGAGATGGGACAAATATCAATAGAACAGTGTTAAATGTCCAATTTCCTCCGTTCTGAGATAATGAATATAGTAGATGATTGAATCTGACAAACTGCAATGATATTTATTTCCATTTTTGACACTTTATAACAAAATACATAATAACAAGTTTACCATCATTTTTACACAATCAACTAACAATGTTATTAAGATGCAGGAAATGTCAAACAAACACTTTTACCTATCTTATTAGTTCAATAATGAGACAGTTAACATGCCTAACAATTGAATCTTAGGAAATGTGAAAAAACAGCATAACTTCTAAAATAATGGCCCGATTATGCTGATTTTCGAACTCAAACTGCGTTTTAGTTAGTTTGACTACTCCTGTGAGTATAATGACAATTGGCCTATCTGTTTTTCTTATATTGTGTTATTAGCGTTGCATATATGTTGAAAGAAGTGAAAAAGAAGCAAAACTTCCCTAAAAATGGCCCGAACATGCTGATTTTCGGACTTTACCTGCGTATTATGAATATTCATCAGTTCTGTAAGTTTCAAGCCAAAAAGTAAAATGGTTTTCCACTTATCGTGTTATCGGAGCTGCATATATGCTGAAAAAAGTGAAAAAACAGCATGACTTCCCTATAAGTGACCCGATCATGCTGATTTTCGAACACGACCTGCGTATTATGAATATTCATTAGTTCTGTAAGTTTCAAACAAAAAGAAAAAACAGTTTTCCACTTATCGTGTTATCGGTAAAAGTGCACGGCGACGGTGACGACAGCAACGACGGCGATGGCGACGACAGACGCAGATGACGGCTATTTCTACAGACACATCTGTGTCTGTACATAAAAAGCTGGATTATACACTGTATGTATGTTGGAAACAAGAAGAGTTCATCTATTAATCTGATTGCACTCAGTGAAAGCGCCTGCAGAGTAGGATCTATCTATGTAGAAAGATAGTAACTGTTGTATTAGGAAAGTTTTAGTGTGCCTGAGACCACGAAAACCGATGTTTCCTTTAACAGCAACTACAGATTAAACAGATAACAAACAAAGGAATCGTTGCAAGAAGAGTAAGTAAAATTTTTGATAATTGAAATTAGGAACTAAAATAAGCATGCTCCTAAGGTTTCACCTCCAACATTTCAGCTCTTACCCTTTGTTTTCACGGTGACTGTGTCTGAATATCCTCCACTAGCAAACTGTTTTCCACTCCCATCTTGATAGCCATTCCTTGATTCCACTCTGAACATGTAGTTAGTATTTGGTTGTAGATTGGGCACTTTTTTCAACACAGGTTGTTTATAACCTGCATCTGAAACTGCTGACGTAGATATCCATGGTCCATCGTCTGTTTTATACTCAACCAGAAATGTCTGTGGATATCCCCCATCTTTGTTTGAAGTCCACTGGACAGTGATAGAGATGGCTGACACGTTGAACATTTCAAGATTGGAAGGAGCATCAGGCTTTCCTTAAATAAATGAAATCCCTTTATAGAATAAACATAAAATTACACAGATTAATAACAATAACAGCAAAAACAATAGTATTCTCCTATGGGGAATCCTAATAATAAGTAAGCAGAAGTAATGATGCACCATGCAGACACAGAAGAAGCAAGAGGTATTTGGAATGCAGACTGGGATGAAGAGAGAGAACACCACTAAGATGCGGAATGGCTGCATGGGTGGCGTGAAGGAAGACAAACATTGTCATTACAAAGGACACATTGATGACAGTGTTGCAGATGAAACTGAATGGGAAAGCTGCAGGGCCAGATTGTATTCAAGCATATTGGCTATAGAACCTTTCGTTCAATGAAACCAAGCTGGGCACAGTTCGGAGGCAATATCTATGAATGGATAGCAACTGGATAGACTGTGTTTATAGCAAGGATATATTAAAGAGAAGAGAAGCAAGCAGTTATAGACCAATCACCTGTCTATTGCTTCTCTGAAAATTGTTTACTAGTATTATTGCTGATAATGTGTATGAACACCCTGAAAGGAATTTGTTGTTAGAAGATTAGAAAGAATACACAAAGAGATCCATAGGGACTAATAATCTGCTGTTAATTGACAGGATTGTGCTGAGGGAGGTGAGTCAAAGGAAGACAAATTTGTGTGTGTGGTTAGATTATAGAAAGGCATACAATATGCTATATCCCATTCATGAATCTTGGGATCTTCTCAAATGATGGGAATCGATGGTTGGATATCATGATTTTTTGGCAGAACATGTTGGAATAGTAAGTTGAATTGAATTCTGGTGACCAGTCATCCAGTGGAGTCAGCATCAAGAGAGGTACAATTCAAAGGAGACTCATTATTGCCATTGTTGTTTGTTATAGAGCTGATATCCCTATCACATATCTTACATAAATCGAACCATGGTTATAGATTTTACCATTCTGGGGAAGGATCAATCACCTACTGTTCATGGATGATCAGAAACTTTATTTCAAAAGCGAAAGAGACCTGGAGTCATTGGTATAAAAGGGATTTAAGTGAAGATATCTGTATGGAATTTGGGATTGACAAGCGTGCAGTGCCTACCATGAGGACAGGATAGCTGTCAATGAAGGTATCAAACTCCTTGATGAGAGTGTGATGAAAGGTTTGCAGGAAGGGGATAGCTATAAGCATTGAGGGAAATGAAAGTGAAAGTGAGAAAGGGGTATTTTAAAATTTAGAAACTAATAAGTGTTATGAAGGAAATCTTATCAAGGGGATCAATACTTGAGCTGTTTCATTGTTGAGGCACTCGGCCACTTTCCTAGACTGGTCTGGTGAGGAAATTGATAGAATGAATAAAGATAAGGACATCGATAACCATGCATGGGGGGCTCCATCCAAAGAGTGATGTTGATAGATTGTACTTGCCAAGGGGAGAGGGAGGAAGAAGATTACTCAGCAGTGAAGACACTCTTCACCTTGATGTCCTGGGTTTAGAGAACTATGTGAAGGCATTGGTGGAAAGGTTTCTGAGTACAGCAAATTTTAAGGTAGTTGATGGTGATAAGATAGGGGAAAAATCCCAACTTGTGTTGATGAGAAGAGGAGAAAGGCCAAGATAAATGGCATGATGAAAGAAACAGTTGCATGGACAGTTTCAAGGCAGTGGCTGGAAAGTAGTGATGGGACTGTCTGAAAGATGGAAGTTTGAAGATGGAAATGGAATGAATGATCTGTGCAGCACAAGGTAAGGTCATCAGTACCACTGCCATCAAGGTAAAGATTCATAAGTAGCAGAACAGCAATTGCCGCATGTGTGGCCTCCATAATGAGGCAGATTGGGTTGGAAAAAGAATAAACAATATCATACAATTAGTATGCCTTTATAATGTGACTGGGTAGTAACACAATAGCTAGTATATGTTCGGTATTTGCCCTTATTATCAGTATATGCGGACTAATAACAATCTGTGTACCATTTTCCTCAGGTAGCTCAACAAAGACATTTATGGCCCAGTTGAAGAAGTTCGCAACTGATATGTCTGGTACTTCAAAAGACCATATTGTTAAACACTGGACGAATTCTATGTAAAGTGTTTGAGATTTGAGGAGTCTTGTTGGAACCATAGTTCATGCCTAACAATGTACCATCACATAAGATGATGTGCAACTTCAATAATAATAATAATAATAATAAGGCAGCAAAGCTGTCAAATGTACAGACAAAAAGCAGAAAATAACAATGCACAAAATAGGCTACTGTCAATTCTGATGCAAAAGTACATTATGCTTAACTGCAAATTCAACATCAAATTTTAATTATGTTCAACAGGTAAACTGATGTAAGTAAAATGTGTAACAAGCATAAGGCTTCAGCATAAGGCCGATGGGAGTTCAAGTTCACACTTTGAAAATGCAAGAATGAGAAAAATGAAAATTTCACACAAAACTGCATAAATTCAATAATAAATGATAACCCAATTGAGCTGGCTTTCTTATTTGAACTGCATGCCAATCCTAAAAATCATACTTTTAAGTTAAAAATAATTATAAGTAACACAGTTTTCTTTTCATAATGTTTGTAGTAGCAGTGCAAAAAGATTTTTGTCAATTTTGATGTAACATTACATAATAAATAACAGAATAATTATCACCAATTTTTGATCATTGACTATAAATAGCATGGAAATGTAGAAAACTTGATTACCATTCAGCTTCATGTCCATGGGAGCTCCGAGTCCCACAATGAATATGCCAAAATGATAATAATGAATATTTCACTCAAATGTATAACTTCCAGAAAAAGAAGCCAATTAGACTGCTTTTCCAACTCGGGCTGCATTTTAGTCCTGTGTTTCTTTTTTGAAAGTTTGACAGTCATAAGTAACATGGTTTTCCCATAATGGTCATCATGGCAGCAGCACCAAAAATTGTGTTTTCTTCCATTTTGATGCAACATTACCTAATGCTTAACAGCATAATGACCATCAATTTTTAATAATAAAATAAACGTATCATGGATTTTCAGAAAATGTGACTAGCATGGGTCTTCAAGCCCATGGAGGTTCTAAGTCACACCTTGAAAATGCCAATATGTGAAAAATTATATTTTCACAAAAAACTTTAATTGCCAGAAAATTTACCAAACAGACTGCATTGCCTACTGCAGCTGTATTTTAGTCCCATGTTTCTTTCCTGTAAGTTTGAGAACAGTAAGTGACATGGTTTTCCTGAAATGTTCATCATGAGAGCAGTGCCCAAAATATGGGATTCTTCAAATTTTGATGCAACATTACATAATGTTTAACAGCATAATGATCATCAATTTTTAATAATAAAATAACAGTATCATTGGACATTCAGAAAATGTGACTAGCAAAGGTCTTCAGGCCCATGGAACTTCAAAGTCACAACTTGAAAATGCCAAAATGTAAACAAGACAGCACTGTTCTGAAATGTATTTTTTTCCATTTTTAGCAATTTTTAACATAAAACAAAATTCACAGTTTACTGCCACTTTTATATAATCAACTAAAAAAATTGATGAGATGGGAAAAATATCAATAGAACAGTGTTAAATGTCCAATTTCCTCCATTCTGAGATTCTGAACATAGTGGATGATTGAATCTGACAAACTGCAATAATTTGAGTTTATTTCCATTTTTGACACTTTATTACACAAAACACGATAACAAGTTTACCAAAATATTTACATAATCAACTAACAATGTTGTAAAGATGCAGGAAATGTCAAACAAACAAGTTTACGTATCTTATTAGTTCAATAATGAGACTGTTAACATGCCTAAGAATTGAATAAGAGGAAATGAGAAAAAACAGCATAACTTCTAAAATAATGCTGATTTTCGAACTCAACCTGCGTATTAGTAAGATTGACCACTCCTGTGAGTATAATGACAATTGGCCTATCTGTTTTTCTTATATTGTGTTATCAGTGTTGCATATAAGCTGAAAAATACATGAAAAATTAAATTTTCACAAAAAAACTGTTTAACTGGCAGAAAGAATTACCAAACAGACTGCATTGCCTATTGAAGCTGTATTTTAGTCCCATGTTTCTTTCCTGTTAGTTTGAAAACAGTAAGTGACATGGTTTTTCTGAAATGGTCATCATGGGAGCAGTGCCCAAAATAGGGGTTTCTTCAAATTTTGATGCAACATTACATAATGTTTAACAGCATAATGACCATCAATTTTTAAAAATATTAGTAACATGGACATTCAGAAAACATGACCAGCAAAGGTCTTCAGGCCAATGGAACTTCAAAGTCACACCTTCAAAATGCCAAAATGTAAACAAGACAGCACTGTTTTGACATGGGTTTATTTCCATTTTTAACACTTTTTTTAACATAAAACAAAGTAAACAGTTTACTGCAATTTTTATATCAATTAACAAAATTGATGAGATGGGAAAATTATCAAAAAAAAAAAAAAAAAAAAAAAAACAGTGTTAAATGTCCAATTTCCTCCATTTTGAGATTCTGAACATACTGAATGATTGAATCTGACAAACTGCTATGATATGAGTTTGATTCCATTTTTGACACTTTATTACACAAAACACGATAACAAGTTTACCATCATTTTTACATAATCAATTAACAATGTTGTAAAGATGCAAGAAATGTCAAACAAACTCTTTAACGTATCTAATTAGTTAAATAATAAGGCTATTAACATGCCTAACAATTGAATCTGAGAAATGTGAAAAAACAGCATAACTTCTAAAATAATGGCCCGATTATGCTGAATTTCAAACTTAACCTGCGTTTTAGTAAGACTGACCACTCCTGTGAGTTTAATGACAATTGGTCTACCTGTTTTTCTTATATTTTGTTTACAGTGTTGCATATATGAAAAATGAAAAAATCAGCATAACTACTTAAATAGTGGCCTGATCATGCCGATTTTCAAACTTGACCTGTGTTTTAGTAAGATCGATTACTCCTGTGAGTTTCATGACAACAGGCCTATCGGTTTTCCTTGAAAAGTGTTTACAGTGTTGCATATATGCTGAAAAGTGAAAAAAAAACAGCATAATTTCTACAATAATGGCCCGAACATGCTGATTTTCGAACTTGACCTGCGTTTTTTGAATATTCATCAGCTCTGTAAATATAAAGCCAAAAAGTAAAACTGCCTTCCACTTATCGTGTTTACAAGGAAAGTGCACGGCGCCAGCGCCAGCAACGACGACGGCGATGACAGACGCAGGTGATGGCAATATGTACAGACACATCTGGGTCTGTACATAATAAATCAATTTGTTCATGTGCTGGCACACACTACATTATTTTGACATTGTACCAGTGCAACAGAATATCATACAATTAGTATGTATTTATAGTGATATTCCTATTTGCACTGATTACCAGTGCATGCAAACTAAAAATAATCTGTGCACCATTTTCCTCAAGTACATGAATGCACACTTATATGTTCATAAAACATATTTCCTGTTTAATACATCCATCACACTCACCTTTTCTTTCCAGTTTGAATAAAAACACAGACTGTCCAATACTGTTGTCCACACTACATACATAGGTGCCGTAATCACTGTCTCTCAACCTGTCAACTCTCAGTGTTGATTTATACTCCAGATCTGTCTGGTTGTATGCAGAAGGTAAACTGCCATTTATTTTTCTCCAGGAGTAAGATGTGGGTTTTGGGTAAGCAATGACATACAAGGTCAAGGTGGCAGACTCTCCAATGTCTGCTGAAACTTCCAGGTTTGTGACTCGGTCAGATGATGGGTCCTTCTTTGCTGCATCTGAACACAAAGAAGAAATACAATACTTTTTTTCAATATATGTCATTCAATTCAAGGATTTGGATTCAAGCCAATGTAATTATACACCACAGCTGTGCTTACCAGAAACTGTGTCATGCTGACAGATCTACATGTATCTATCTATATTTCTATCTATGAGACAACAAAGTTTAAGGCTGACATGAATAATGCCCTAGCTTGTACACAGTGAAGGAAGGGAACTATTATCATGTGGAATGATGTTTACAAAACATTTCATTCAAAAGACATAGATCTATCACATCATTTAATTCCACTTTGCTTCAAGTATTCTGTACCCACATTTGGAGCAAGTATATACCAATAATGTTGTCAAACAAAATAATGTCCCCACAATAATCACTTACATTTGACAGCTAAAGTTCCATTAGAAGTCTTCGTGAACTGGGAGTTACTAGCAGTGCATATATACGTCCCAGCGTCTGTGTACTGTACATTGTTCAGTACCAGAGGGTTTTGGTTTCTCTGTAGATCTACAGGTTGTCGTCCAATAAGTGACAGAAATTGCCAGTTGCTATAAACAAATGAAGCAGGAATTCCCTCTGGTTTACAGTGAATGCTGACACTGCTGTTCTCTAGTGTGGCTGGGATACTTTCTACTGAGACACGCAGGTCTGGAATGTTTATTTCATTCAAAATACAAATGAACATCATCAGTCCTGAATATTGTTATCCAGAGTCACAGGAAACACAAGATAATTCCTTATTTTTGACCAATTGTTTGCACAGAAGCCATTAATAAATTTGCCTACATATTTAGCACAAACATTAGATTACTATCAGGTTATGTTTATTTACATGGGTAAAGATGTGTGTAACTATGTACTCACATTTAACTATCAAAGTCACACTGCTCTCTCCGACCAGGTTGCCATGACGACTGGACTGTGCTGTGGCATAACACGTGTATGTCCCATTCTGCGCCACCTGTATCTGATTAATGGTATATGAGGACTGGTTATGGACGCCATTGTTTCTGTCTCGAGTTCTACTCCAAACATAGCTTGTAACTGTTGGGTTGGACTTGGTTACATCACAGGTCAAGGTCACATCATCTCCTTCTTTAACTGTACTACTTGGAGATGCTTGGGTTGATATAATCGGGTTAACTGTAACAAACAATGTGATTTATTTTTGTTCATCAGCCTTTTCTTTAATAATTATACCTCGTAGACTTGAAACAGTATATACATAAGTGAGTTAATTACAGCATAATACCCAATAACCATTGCAACAAACACGTGTATATTAGGGCTGATTGTAACAAAAACATAATGAATATATTAATCAAACACATTTTAGTGTAGCTGTGTCAGTGACAGCATTGTTCCTTAATGCATTTTACCTACTATTACAGTTACTATAATAGCACTAAAATATATTCCATTATGGTATTCTACAAATTTACATACATACAGTGTATATAGACATTCTCAGTGTTTGTAAATACATGTACCTGTGTTGTCAATATCCCAATCTAAGGAGCACCCCTTATTTTTGCAAAAAAATTCAAAATTCATATTAACAAGACTTAGTATTTTATACTATACTTACATTCTACATTCAGTGTGTATGTAGCATTCGGACTCGTGGAAGGTTTGTTTATAGTGTAATAATTAGAGGCTTCACAGTGATATATCTGTCTATTATCTCTGTCTGTTAGAGGCCCTACAGTAATGACTGATTTGCCAGCAGATTCTGTGTCTGTGATATCGTTGTTACTTGAATTCCACCAGCGGTAGTTTGGTGCAGGATTCCCCTTATCACTGGCCTCACAAGTTAAAGTGGGTGTACTGTCAGCCAGTAGGGGTGACACAGGGTTTGATGTTATACCCACGTTACTGGGAGGATCTGAAATGGTATGACACACAGGCAAATATCAAACATCATAATTATAAATGTACAATCCTATATATCTACACTTTTACCTTTCATCCAATTGGTCAACAAAACATTATATAGCTAGGCAAAATGTGCATGTTCCTAAACATTTATGCGAGTGGCCAGCATGCTTTTCAAGCCTGCAACATGTATACAATACTAATTAACATACAGCACTTATGAATTTGTGAGGATCTGGAATGATTTGCTTACTTATATGTCCGACATGTAAATATCCAATATCAAGATTACAAGTTCTATAACATATCAACAATTTCACTTTTTTATTTCACACATATAGATACAATGTAACAAACTCTTGTATAATACTGTAAGGTGCAGATGTTTCAAAACATTATTATCACTGATAAGAAACCTATATTTCAAATAAAAACTACGTATATAAACAGCATTACGTGTGGAAATAATTCAAGTTGTTGCACAATAAAGACGCTCATCAATGGTAAAGATTATTTACGGATACACTATCTTTGTAGACAAATGAATTGAAAGCTAGAACTTACAAGCCACATTCAGTTGAATAGCTGCAGAAGGTCTATTTGTGTTAATATCATTGAAGCCCTCACATCTAAATATTTTATTGCCTCTGGTAGCATCTATAGGAAGTGTATATGGAGAAGGTCTGGCTGTGACATCTGTCCATTTTACCATTCCTGCTGGATTTCCACCAACTGTCTGACACTGACAGTATACAATAGCGCCCTCTAGGTGAAGTGTGGAATTGGTGCAGTTTAGGGACACTGACTCAACTGGCCCTGCATGAGAAAATATGGCTATTTCTTATTAATGATAATACATAAAAGGTAAATATCACACTGGTCGTACTGGCTATTTGTCACAGTTACATATAATTCTGTTGAAAAGATATCTGAAACTGAATATTCTACCTGCAATACAATGTGTGTCTGTTTTTACCTAAATAATAATTATGTACAGTGTTATATTCAGTTTGATTTCATTCATTTTACTTTATACAACAACATAGTAAACCTTTTTAAAAGAAGCACAAAATAATCCTATTCAGAGTCACAAGGCTTTATACTTACAAATTATGTCCACATTCACAGAGACTACTGCAGGAGTTGACCCAAAAGCACTATTACTGGCCTTACAGGTGACAGTCTTTGAACCCTGGGTCTTTTGGAACATGTGCTTCAGGGTACTTGTAGTTGTAATAAGCTGTGTGGTGACGTCCCTTGGTGAATTACTGTGTGTGACACCAGATGTCACTGCAGTGCCATCTACCTCCCAGGTAACAGTTGCTGCTGGATATGCCTTGGTCTCACACAGAAATGTGGTGTCCTGCTGAGCTGTCACCTTGGTATCTGCTGTGGAATTGAGGAGACGAGTTCCCTGTGGAGCAGCTGGAATTAACGAAANAGGCTTCACAGTGATATATCTGTCTATTATCTCTGTCTGTTAGAGGCCCTACAGTAATGACTGATTTGCCAGCAGATTCTGTGTCTGTGATATCGTTGTTACTTGAATTCCACCAACGGTAGTTTGGTGCAGGATTCCCCTTATCACTGGCCTCACAAGTTAAAGTGGGTGTACTGTCAGCCAGTAGGGGTGACACAGGGTTTGATGTTATACCCACGTTACTGGGAGGATCTGAAATGGTATGACACACAGGCAAATATCAAACATCATAATTATAAATGTACAATCCTATATATCTACACTTTTACCTTTCATCCAATTGGTCAACAAAACATTATATAGCTAGGCAAAATGTGCATGTTCCTAAACATTTATGCGAGTGGCCAGCATGCTTTTCAAGCTTGCAACATGTATACAATACTAATTAACATACAGCACTTATGAATTTGTGAGGATCTGGAATGATTTGCTTACTTATATGTCCGACATGCAAATATCCAATATCAAGATTACAAGTTCTATAACATATCAACAATTTCACTTTTTTATTTCACACATATAGATACAATGTAACAAACTCTTGTATAATACTGTAAGGTGCAGATGTTTCAAAACATTATTATCACTGATAAGAAACCTATATTTCAAATAAAAACTACGTATATAAACAGCATTACGTGTGGAAATAATTCAAGTTGTTGCACAATAAAGACGCTCATCAATGGTAAAGATTATTTACGGATACACTATCTTTGTAGACAAATGAATTGAAAGCTAGAACTTACAAGCCACATTCAGTTGAATAGCTGCAGAAGGTCTATTTGTGTTAACATCATTGAAGCCCTCACATCTAAATATTTTATTGCCTCTGGTAGCATCTATAGGAAGTGTATATGGAGAAGGTCTGGCTGTGACATCTGTCCATTTTACCATTCCTGCTGGATTTCCACCAACTGTCTGACACTGACAGTATACAATAGCGCCCTCTAGGTGAAGTGTGGAATTGGTGCAGTTTAGGGACACTGACTCAACTGGCCCTGCATGAGAAAATATGGCTATTTCTTATTAATGATAATACATAAAAGGTAAATATCACACTGGTCGTACTGGCTATTTGTCACAGTTACATATAATTCTGTTGAAAAGATATCTGAAACTGAATATTCTACCTGCAATACAATGTGTGTCTGTTTTTACCTAAATAATAATTATGTACAGTGTTATATTCAGTTTGATTTCATTCATTTTACTTTATACAACAACATAGTAAACCTTTTTAAAAGAAGCACAAAATAATCCTATTCAGAGTCACAAGGCTTTATACTTACAAATTATGTCCACATTCACAGAGACTACTGCAGGAGTTGACCCAAAAGCACTATTACTGGCCTTACAGGTGACAGTCTTTGAACCCTGGGTCTTTTGGAACATGTGCTTCAGGGTACTTGTAGTTGTAATAAGCTGTGTGGTGACGTCCCTTGGTGAATTACTGTGTGTGACACCAGATGTCACTGCAGTGCCATCTACCTCCCAGGTAACAGTTGCTGCTGGATATGCCTTGGTCTCACACAGAAATGTGGTGTCCTGCTGAGCTGTCACCTTGGTATCTGCTGTGGAATTGAGGAGACGAGTTCCCTGTGGAGCAGCTGGAATTAACGAAAATGTAATTTTTGCCAACCCTAAGGATCAAGAAGAAAAGGCATTTAATGCTGATTGTTGAATATAATTGTTACTCCAAATTGTCTTTAGAGAAATATTTGCCAAAACATCTATGTTAAATGCATACACTAGTAATTATCCCATAGATATTTTTCCATTCTTTTTTTCTATTTCTATAATTATTCTTAACTTTTCCATGCCATATTGAGGTATTCAAAAACAGCCACATGAAATGAAATATTTCACAACATCATGAAACTACGCTTCATTCCAAAGGGCATGTTATGATTAGCACGCCTTTGATATTTCCAATGACACTTACCAATCACTGTCACAGTGACCCTGTCACTACCCATGCTACTGTGACCACATGCATATCTCCCAGCATCTGAGAACTGCACATTGGATATAACAAGTGTATAGTTGTGGTTGGTCTGATCACATGGGTTAACACTGTACTTGGTTGAATCAACACTAACACAATCTTGTGTCAGTAAGGTAGGGGTAGCAATAGGCCCTCTGGTCCACTCTGTAGAAAGCCCAGAAGTGACTGTATTCACTTTACACCACATGGAAACTGATTTCCCCAGTGAGGCACTGACAGCTGAGGAAGGGCCGACATCTATATCAGCACCTATGCAAATGAAAAAGTTAAATTAAAGTTAAACAAGTTAAATTCGCAGTATTTGAGAAGTGTGTGTTTACTAATCGCAAAGTGTTCAAATACTCATGGAGAAATTACGAACAACAACAACGAGTAAAAAAGAACTCAGAAAAGGAAAATTAAGCTATTGCTAGGTTGAATCGATTTTGAAAATTCTTTACAAGGTTATACGAGTATTTTAACTTTAAATAGCTAAAGATTGAAAGTATTTTAATAATAAAAACGCAATACCTGCCACAATATGTAAGTAAACACTTGCTAATCCAACGATGACTCTAGCTATAGGAGCCTTTTCCATCCAACCCATATGTGTGCCGTAAATATATCACTGCAATGACACAAAATACCTACGTCTCTGATATACATCATATAAACATGTATTAATTTCAACATAAATTAAGATACCAAACAATAAGACCCCTTCCACAAGTTTTTTTATGGGAGAAACCATAATTCGGCATAAGGTGTACCGTTAATGGTGCATTTTACTACTCTCACGGAGAGGTGTTTCCTGTCGTCGTCTCATATATGGACCAGTGTTAAGGTCAGTATTTTATATCGCAATTCACATGCGTCTCAGCGCAGTTCACATTAGCCACAGAGTCACTTTTGGCCCTGATACAAACTGGGTGTTTACCTTCTCGCCTCCATGGGGAAGAAAATTAAAGCACAGCTTTTTTAAACAGATTTATTTCTACAATAAAGATATACAAAATAAATAAATTCAAAGCAGGCGGCACGTCGTCACAGCATAATGTGCTCGCCTGCGTTAATATAATTCACAGTAACTATAAAAGTAATAATAATAATTGTGATAACACTAATTAGTACTTATATTATCTTAACTGAGAGCACAGCTGCTGTATGTAACGCTGAAAGCTTTCAAACGAACAATATATTTCACTGTCAAAACTGAAATTTGACCCCAAATTCAACCCTAAAGTAGGAGACAGCCGGCACTGGTATGTTCCCGGAAGGCGGACAATCTGACAACAAGGCTGTCCTATCGGTAAAGCAAATTTGGACCGGCTATACCGTTGTGCATTGTAATGAAAAATGAAAGGTAATGAAACTACTTTAAATCAAAGATCTATAGCGTTGTGCAAAAACTGGAATGTGAAACATATTTGACAGCATGTGTGTATATTGTAACTCATGCTCTTACCAAGTTGTCACAGGTCCTTCAGCATCCCACGCTGACCCAAATAGCGCAACCTGTCTTGATAACAATTCAATTCAACCAAAGTGTGTTTTGTAATCTGCACTATTTATATCAACAAATGAAATTACGCATTGCGTCTCTGGGTGTGCATGGATGATAAATTGAATGTGGGTCTATGTGCGTAAATGAATGGGTCAGGAACATATTGGTATTGTATACATCAAACACTTCTGTATGCATTAGTCTACCATATATATATATATATATATATATATATATATATATATATATATATATATATATATATATATATATATATATATATGCACTTCCACGATATACTGGTTAACAGCAATGGGTAATCATCTTTGAAAGTCTGTCAAAATATTCCTATGTGTTGGCTTACAATGGGGGTATTTTCATGTGAAAGTGGATGGATTTGTCTTTTAAACCTTTTAATTCTTAGCCGAAAATGACACTAAAACAGCGCGTAAATCTGGGGCACAGACATACCAGTTCCGTTTTGCACCTGTACCTTATGGAAAAAAACTCTCAGAATACTGTTGCCATGTTTTGTGGTCATCTCAGGGATCATTTACAGCACACACACTAGAGAAAAAACAAAATTGCCCTTCGACGCAAATTTTGATGCGTGAAGAAAACGTGTTGTTGTGCGTTCCCATCGTTTTCAACTTCAGTACAAAGAGTTATCTCCCATAAACGTTGAACTATACAAATCTTTCAATTTCGGGATTTAAATACCTGAAATACACTTCGCTTTTCATAAAACAACAATATGTAAATAAATCCTGTCATCTGTGTAATCAAAGATGTTGTGACCCAATCCTGTCTTATTTCCTTCAGACGCGCACGACAGCGAAACCACAGCTACATGTAGGGTGTAGTTTCTTTTCCCCATTCAGATTCGGCCCAGTGGAGATTTCCACTGTTGACTTAATGACCCGGTTACATGAACATTAAATGAGTAATTAAATTATCTATATCCGGTACCCACTTTTTAGTTTGTAATTCACGAAAAAGGATTTCATGTCATCGCTATTTAAACGCCGATTCAGGATCGCAGCGTGCATTCCCACCTCTGTGAAGTTAAGTGCACTCTTACCTGATAAATTTTATGTGTTTTTAAACTTAAATGTTCCAAAACTCGAAGAATTGTCAAGAAAGTGTCAAATTAGTGCAACTGCCCCCACTTTAAAGCTTTTGATGACGATTTCGGACAGTCGCTTTGCAAATGGATGCCATTTAGATGGAGTTGTTCGCTGAAAACAACAGGGGTACTGATTTTTTTTTTTTGTTGGTGGTGGGGGGTCGTATGCACGGCAGATGGCAAAGCTAAGTACTGGCGTAAATAAAAATAAAATTCATCATTATTCATTTTTGAGTGTATTTGGTAATCCTGTCATGGTCTTTTCATTAAAAATGTAAGCAAAATTGGTGCAATGTGGTTTACTTCACGATACTCATAGCGCCTGCACATTTGACTGTGGGCAGGACCAAACCGACACATTGTTGAATGACAGGCTGAATATCTAATATAAACTTCGAAACAGTGCTCAATAGATTAATATTTTGCAAGCCACATAAATGCAGCAAGTGAAATATTCAATACTGCGGCACCCTGAAGTGCTGAAATGAAACGTCGGTATACTGTTTACACAAACGCATATTTTCTCATAACTATTATTTCTACAAGCATTGTCTGCCCAAAGTACCAAAGGAAAAATGTTATCTCATTTTGTTGTTGGAAAAACTGCTTTTTTCTGACCCCTTTGTTTCATTCCCGTTCACCTTCAGCTAAAAATTACCACTCGGGTTCACTTCTTAATCCACTTGACGTCACACTTCAGGCACAATCCTGTCTCCTCCTGTACCCTCTTTTAGATACCGTTTTTCTAAAAAAAAATTTTGGCCAGTTTTATCTGGTGAAAGTGTATTTTTCAACAAAGGATAGGTCTTTTTTGCGGGGGACCTCGAGAATTTGGAGCATTATTCAAACGTTTTTTCTTTAAAAGTTTGACAATTTGTAGATTAATCTAACTTCATATACACTTAAAGAATATATATGTGTGTTATATTTCAATAGATGTGGATACCTGTAAGTGAATTAATGACAACATTCAAGTTACTTCCATTAAGTTTTGCGGGTTGGCACGAAAGATAGTTTGAAAATCTGCTCTCCCACTTCTGCCACCCACAATGTTGTGAACATGTACAAGGAAGTATTATTATAATAAAATTCTAAGTACTTATTTAATACTGTTAAAAACGATACATTTGTCTATAATATGTGTACTTTATGTTCCGAAACCATTTTCTAGCAATTCATTTCCGAACCATATCAGTGTCCTACGCGTCCTTTGGACGGTTACTTTTCTGCGGCAGATACTTTCAAGTTCGACTGGATGGTTGAAAGCACGGAACAAATGAAGCAATACAAATTTTTAAACATATTTTTTCGTCCCCGATTGACAAATTTAAATGATAAAGGAGCAAAAAGGTTATAACGAAAGCCTCTCTCTAATAATAACAATAATTAATAAAATAAAAAATAAATAAATATAAATATAATAATAATAATAATGGAATGAGCAGAGAGATATTCATGAGAATGACAATTCCCAAATTAATAAGTTAATGGGTGACGAACACTATTATATGGAGAAAGGAATGACTGTATTGGATTGTCATAAAGCTTTAAAGAACATGTACAGAGAGGCCCATCATCTGGTACCGACAGTTACACAGCGGAAGTCTATAAGTTCTTTTGGTCAGAATTGAAACAATCCATTGCAGGCTCATTTAACGTTCCGTTCAGAGGACAATCCACGTCAATCAGCCAAAGGCTAGGGCTTGTTACTTGTCTCCCTTAGAAGGTAAAAGATAAAAATTATTTAAAAACTGGTGCCCAATCTCACTGCTCAATTTTGACTTTAAAATTGCCTTAGCTTGAATTGCCAATCGTTTTTAAATCAGTAAAGTAAGTGATACACGTTATGTTACGGCTTGATATGTGTTTGGAAATTTTCTCAGGCACAAGTAAAAAAAAAGCCATTCTCTCGGAATGCTCGGGTTTGAGATCCAATCTAAAAAAAAATGTGATCGGAGGGTGGATGTTTTGAAAAAAATTCAAAAGTTAAAAAAAGATATAAAATTGAATCATGAAAGTGTTTGAAGTTACTTGGTATAAAATACGACTTGAATAAAATTTAATCATTAAGAAATAAAATTTTAGGAAATATTTAAAAAATGAAAAATCTCTTGATAGTCTGGTGCCTGAGAAATCTTTCAATAATGAGAAAGGTAACAGTGGTTAAAACGTTTGTATTTCACATCTAAGTGCATATATTTACTTTCCCCGACCACATTTTAATTTATGGATACAATAGTATGTAATTATAACTTGAATGTGAAAAGACAAAATAAAAGCGCAACGACAGTGTCTGATTACAAAAATGGAGCTACATGTATAAATAAAACTTTATACCAAGGTACTAAAACTTTTTATACCTAGAAAGGCCTCTTGAAGAAGAAAATAAGAGTAGGCGCAAAGCGCTTTTTCTCATTGAACTGGGAGGTATCGCGGGGGGGGGGGGGGGGGAGTAACAAAATATGGACTTTGACAAAAGGTAGATAAAAACACTACGAGCAACTCATAATCCCTTTTCACAAAACGCTAACGATTCCTTGAATCAAATTAAGGAAAATCCCAATGCAACCCCAGAAGATATCCTATCCAACCATTATAGAAAAACTCCAAATTAAAAGAAATGAATAAAAAACTATTTTCTCTAAAAGATATTGTAAAATGGTTTATTTTACATTAATGGTATTTTGAATGGCGTTGGAAATGTCCTTTCTCTAAGGAAAACTAAAGGATCAGAGAGGTATTGTACCACCAGGTGGAGTTAGCGCATTCATATGTAAAATAAAGGACACCACATCCAGTGTTGTGCTCGACAAGCTCTAAAAAATGCAGTAAACAAGTTCTAATTTTTGTTGAAAACTACAATTAATAATGAATCATGGGAATACTAAAATCAATATTTATAAGGGGTTCATGGCGAAAAGTAAGTCAAAGGTCAATTTCAAGGTCACAGTTAGATTGCCAGTATATGCAAGTTTTA